AGGCGGTGAGGGAATATCACTAAAATCAATAATATTCTTTGCTACTTGATTAAATTTGCAATGACATGAGGGGAAAGATGAGTGAGGCAAGTGAAAGATGGTCAAATTTCTCCATTCCTGAGCTTTACCTGGACCCTTTACTCTCACGACTAAGAACAAACAGCAGCTCCCCTGTGACTGTAATATCTCCATAGCTCACAATTATGTATGAGCGATAAGACCGACCATTAATGTATAATGATGTACTGTAAATATATAGCTCTTGAAATAGAACATTCTCTGTAACTAGCTGACATTATAAGGTGTGAAGGATAGATGAAATTGATAATGTAATAATCTCCGTTGAGGTCTGATAAAGACCTTTTGTGCCCTCTGTAATCCTTTTTGCGCTACCGCTCACAGGATGAGTATGGGGTGCACAATAAACTAGCAGCCTCCGCCGGCAACAAAAATAAATAAAAAAATCAGTCTCTCCTCACTTGCAGCTTTACCCCTCTGATTCTAGGCTCTCGGACGTAGGTTCGAATCCTCGTCACGGCCCTTGTGGATTTGTTCCTCTGATTCTACTTAATCTCTACACCTCCCTCCCCCCGCCCCCCCATTCATATCCAACACCACCTCCCCACAGCACCCCCTACACCTCCCACCCCCCAGCCCCCCCCCATATCCAACACCACCTCCCCACAGCACACCCCTACACCTCCCTCCCCCCACGCCCCCATCCATATCCAACACCACCTCCCCACAGCACCCCCCTACACCTCCCTCCCCCCACGCCCCCCCCCCCATCCATATCCAACACCACCTCCCCACAGCACCCCCCCTACACCTCCCTCCCCACCCACTTTGGTTGTGACAATCAGCAGCGGAAGTGGTGGTTCCGTTTGCGTCCTCTCCAGCTCACATTCTCCCTCACTCCTAGTCTCTCCCTTCTCCCCTCCCTCCTCTTCCTTCCTCCTTCCATCCCTCCTCTTCTCTCCTCCCTCTCACACTCCAATCTCTGCCTCCTCCTTCCTTTACTTCAAGATGCCTCAGTTCAACCATTAGCGGGTAGGGGGTTGTTTAACAAGATAATTATATGCAGAAAGCCTATTAAGAACACAAGAGGAAAAGTATATACAGTGCAGTAGCCCTATTGGCTCCTTGTAAGGTAGGTTGTATATATATATATCTCAATAAATATTGAAACAATTAAACGGCTCCACATCTATCATGTTTCCTTGAAATGCGTTTCGTCAATTTTCAACCCAATTTTGAAATAGTATTTGTCATATCCTTTTCTAAATCTAAATTTAACATATTTATATCCGTTGTAAAACAAAAGATTCACAGCATAACTTTAGTAATTAACTCATTCTTTTTCAACATATCTAGAAGCAGTCAATTGCTGCTCATCAGGACTCATTGGGAAGGTATGGACGCGCCGCACCAGGTGGGATATTTTGGACTATGTGAAAGAAACAAAGATGGCGACCACAAGGAGCCCATGTTGAGTTGCAAACTGTTCCAAGTGTAGTACCTCAAGACCTTCTTTGGGACCACTACTGTTTTGTAACACAGGTTCGATCCCATTGAAAAGCCTCAATATCTTCTTACATAAAGAACATAATATTTCCGTTTTGGCAAGCATGAAAATTTTTCACAATTAGAGAGTATAGAAAAGCTTTGCTCCTGAGTACCCCACGAGTTTACTGGCGCCCAGAGAAAAGCTTTGCTCCTGAGTACCCCACGAGTTTACTGGCGCCCAGAGAAAAGCACAAGACAACAATTTATGAGACAGGTTTACACGACCAGGGACAGGAATTATTAAGCATTAACCTAACTATATACGAAACCTGTATATCTTTCCTCAATCCTGGTGACTTGGTCTATATATTTATTGAACAGTTTATGACCTCCGGAGTACTATGAAGTTATTTATAACAATAGCGACCTTGTGTTATTAGATTCGAAGATCATAAACAGTTTACATATATAAACAATGCTGCCATAATTAAGGAAAGGTGTACAGGTTTCGTTAGTGGTTGTGTAAATGCTTGATGAATCCTGGTCCCAGGTGTTACCGCCAACATATCCAATAATGAACCCCAGAGAACCCACAAGGATTTATCTCCTGGGAAGTGTTCATAACTATGATCACGTAATGGCTGCACACATGCACGTGTTGGGCACGTCCTTCATACCCGTCCTCGGGCACGAGAGATGTGTGCCACACGTCAAGTGTGGGGCTCAGGGGGTGTCCGGAAGGGTTAGGGTGTGTTCCGGGAGGATCTGAGGATGCCGGGATATGTTGAGAGGTGTCCGGATGTGTTGAGAGGTGTCCGGATGTGTTGAGAGGTGTCCGGATATGTTGAGAGGTGTCCGGATGTGTTGAGAGGTGTCCGGATGTGTTGAGAGGTGTCCGGATGTATTGAGAGGTGTCCGGATGTATTGAGAGGTGTCCGGATGCGTTGAGAGGTGTCCGGATGTATTGAGAGGTGTCCGGATGTATTGAGAGGTGTCCGGATGTGTTGAGAGGTGTCCGGATGTATTGAGAGGTGTCCGGATGTATTGAGAGGTGTCCGGATGCGTTGAGAGGTGTCCGGATGCGTTGAGAGGTGTCCGGATGCTTTAAGAGGTGTCCGGATGTGTTGAGAGGTGTCCGGATGTGTTGAGAGGTGTCCGGATGTATTGAGAGGTGTCCGGATGTGTTGAGAGGTGTCCGGATGTGTTGAGAGGTGTCCGGATGTGTTGAGAGGTGTCCGGATATGTTGAGAGGTGTCCGGATGTGTTGAGAGGTGTCCGGATGTATTGAGAGGTGTCCGAGAGGGTCAGAGTCACCTGACCCTAATATGAAATCATATGTTTCACGAACCTACTTTACGGGCTCACCATAGCCCGTGCTACTGAAACGTCTTGCTCTGAGTAGCTGAATCTAAAACAACAACAACGAACCTACTTGAGGCAGAGACATATATACTGTAGGGTCCAATATTTCCGTCATGAGCAAGGCTACAGTGAACACCCACAAAAAAACCAAACACGAATAAACTGTACAGTTCCTGCTGGAGTACTCTTAGTGTACTGTATGTACTCTTGGTGTTGCTCTTCGCCACCTTGTGAAAACATTAGAACGAGGAAAAAAACATTGCACATTAAACAACAAAATATGCAAATTGCACATCCGACTAGCAATTAGGAAGTGAAGATAATATGTTAGAATACACCCGTCGGACACTAACGTGTACCCTCGTTCCACTCCCTTCCCCTTCCACACACACACACACACACACACACACACACACACACACACACACACACACACACACACACACACACACACACACACACACACACACACACACTTGCATGGATTGAACGCAAAGGGACACAAGTGGAAACTGAGTACCCAAATGAGCCACAGAGATATTAGAAAGAACTTTTTTTAGTGTCAGAGTGGTTGACAAATGGAATGCATTAGGCAGTGATATTATCTTGATGTGATGGAGGCTGACTCCATACACAGTTTCAAATGTAGATATGATAGAGCCCAGTAGGCTCAGGAATCTGTACACCAATTGACTGACGGTTGAGAGACGGGACCAAACAGCCAGAGCTCAACCCCCGCAAGTACAACTAGGTGAATATATACACACAAAATCCCCCCTACCATTTACCTCTTCAGAACTGTCAATCCGTCAGGACCAAACACAACCCCCTTACCAACCTTACATCCCCCTCCTACCCCGTCAACCGTCCCTTCTCCTACCCCCCCTCCAACCTCCTCCCCCCCCCATTAACCCCAACAGCCTCCATCGCCATATAACAAGGTGCAGAGGTCAACAGCCCTCAGAGACGGTCCGCCCTCGCTAGTTATTCACGGGACGAGTCAGACACTTTGGGTTTTATGAACGTTTTCTTCTTTTTGTTCTCCTTCGTCATGTGTGACCGATGGTCGGGTTCCCGCCAAGCCCCAGTGGCGTGCGCCGCGTTCACGGCTCACTGAACAATCAGTGAACAAGATACACAATTTCTGGCTTTAATCTCGAATAATGACCCGGTAATTGCATAGAGATAAAATATACAAAAGTATTGTTGTTTTTACGTTGCAGTGGTAGCCATCTTGGGCATGGGGAGGGGATGAGGGTAAAGGGGTCATAACGATAACAGTAATAAATAACACTGATATATCTTGGCTGGAGGAACAATGGACACTACATTACTTGTGGAGACGAGGCCGCTCTAAGGACACGAGGCTCTCACAACAAGCCAGCTACAAGGTTAAGATGTCCTCACAAGCATCTACCTATGACTAAGAAAGTATGGAAGTCTAAGTACAGGCAATGAGTCACAATAACGTGGCTAAAGTAGTTTGACCAGACCACATACTAGAAGGTGAAGGGACGACGATTGATTTGACTGTTGCCGCCGAAGGCGTCTAGTTTATTGTGCACCCCATACTCATCCTGTGAGCGGTAGCGCAAAAGCATTACAGAGGGCACAAAAGGTCTTTATCAGACCTCATCTTAGATTATTACATAAACAATTTCATCTATCCTTCACACCTTATAGTTACAATGTCAGCTAGTTACAGAGAAAGTGCTATTTCAAGAGCTCGTTTCGGTCCGTCCTGGACCATTCTCAAGTCGATAGTGAATCGACTTGAGAATGGTCCAGGACGGACCGAAACGTCGTCATCCCTTCACCTTCTAGTGTGTGGTCTGGGCAAACGGAAGTCTAATACAAATGAGAACCAAACCCTGCTGTATGACGGTTAATTGAACAGTATGATAATTATCTAGAAGGCCGCCAAAACAGTTGCCCCATAAATGGCAACAACAGGAGAACTATCAACAATACAGGTAAATTATCGAGAGAACCACTGGAACCACCGGATTGGAACCATGCTACCTGCCACGAGCACCACCTGTCACAGGTGTCACATCACCTGTCACAGGTGTCACGACACCTGTCACAGGTGTCACGACACCTGTCACAGGTGTCACAACATCTGCACTTACCTGGAAGTGTAGTTGGCCGTGGTCGTCGACCCAGGCGATGACGACATCGGAACCCTTCATGCCACCAGTGGGAGAGAACCCCAGCCCCACGTACCCGTGCGTCGCTACCTGCAACACCACCATACTCGTCACATGTGACATGTCACACTCACATATCTGCCTCACCCGGACACACCACACACACCTCCACATACTCAGCCACGTATAATCACAATATACACACAATATGTACCAATCAGACCTCACCTGTACTTCAATAACAATCTTGTCCTGCTGGGCCGTCCAGAAGAGGTGGTAGGCGCCGCGTTGGTCCATCACAGCTCGGTGGTGGAAGTCGAAGTGTGGCAGAGAGGTGTGGTGTGGCTGGCCCGCCACACCACCACACCCGCCCTGCAGCAGGCCCGCCAGGAGGCTCGACATGATCCACCACATCACGACCACACCATCTGCGCTACTGGACAACCTCCGCCGGTTCCGCATTCTGATGGGAGGAAAAATGAGCGTTTAATGTTTGCTTTTGCGTCGGAGCATGAAGAGTTTGCCTGATCTATGGCTGGGGAGGGAGGGAGAGAGAGAGAGAGAGAGAGAGAGAGAGAGAGAGAGAGAGAGAGAGAGAGAGAGAGAGAGAGAGAGAGAGAGAGAGAGAGAGAGAGAGAGAGAGAGAGAGAAAGAGAGAAAGAGAGAATGAGAGAGAGGAGAGAGAGAGAGAGAGAGAGAGAGAGAGAGAGAGAGAGAGAGAGAGAGAGAGAGAGAGAGAGAGAGAGAGAGAGAGAGAGAGAGAGAGAGAGAGAGAGAGAGAGAGAGAGAGAGAGAGAGAGAGAGAGAGAGAGAGAAAGAGAGAGATGAGAGAGAGAGAGAGAGAGAGAGAGAGAGAGAGAGAGAGAGAGAGAGAGAGAGAGAGAGAGAGAGAGAGAGAGAGAGAGAGAGAGAGAGAGAGAGAGAGAGAGAGAGAGAGAAAGAGAGAGAGAGAGAGAGAGAGAGAAGAGAGAGAGAGAGAGAGAGAGAGAGAGAGAGAGAGAGAGAGAGAGAGAGAGAGAGAGAGAGAGAGAGAGAGAGAGAGAGAGAGAGAGAGAGAGAGAGAGAGAGAGAGAGAGAGAGACAGACTGACTGACTCTGACGATATAGTGTTGCCTGGTACAGTGGTACAGTGGTGATGGAGGGAGCTGTATCTATTATTCAGACTCGCAGGTCCCTGGTAATTACAGAGACCTTCCTCGACTCGTACCACGAAGTGTCGATAAAAAAATGATGTTAATCACAGTGATCAATTTACACACCGTGGCAAAGTTCCTTTTTATTATTTGGCGATCTTTTTCAAAATTCGTGAATGATTCGTGAGAGTTGTCCACGTCCTAAAGAATGATTCGTGGGAGCAGTCAAGCCTGGTCTCGGGCCGGGCTTGGGGAATAGAAGAACTCCCAGAACCCCATCAACCAGGTATCAACCAGGTAAGCAGCTGTAGTATTGTAATAATCCAATATTAGTTTCTCTTACACCGAACGTGAGAAGTTCCCTCACAAGCAAGAGGTGGACACTCACACCTCAGCTAATCACAAGATGAGAGTAACTGCCTCATACACCGGGTCTTCAGGCCAGAAATCCCTCATCCCCCCCTCATTAAAAAATATATATACATATAGCAGTGCAGGAAGTAAGAGTTTCTATAGAGCCAGCCTTTCTTCCCGTATTGCACTTCCCAATCATACCAATAGCTAATCAGGCCCAATCACATCAGCCCCTTCCCATTCACAACACCTTCCTCTGATCACTGGGGCATGTTGAATACTGTTGCCCATTTCCTGCAGTCTATGTTAAGGTCCGCCATCATGTGCCCACTTTCCATGGTTCTTAAACTCATGGCCACCAAGCCTTTTAGAATGTCTATGTCCCCGAGTACGCAGGTAGCAGCAACTTATTCTCTTACAAAGAACGTCGCATTCCGAATTCTACGACCAGTTGTCAAAGATTAAAAAAGAAAGAGCAGGGTGGGACGACTGCATTTTCTTAAACTGTTAGAAAGTCTTTGACACAGTACCCCATAAGAAACTGGTGCACAAATTGGAAAAACAGGTAAGGTGTTCCAGTGGATAAGGAAGTACCTAAGCAGCAGGCAACAGAGAGTTACTGTGAGGGGTGAGGCCTGGGAATGGCAAGATGTCACCAGCAAAGGCCCACAGGATGTCATACTTGGACCTATCCTGTTTCTGATATGATAACAATGTTTTAATTATGAGAAGGATTAAAACAGAGGAGGACAGCATGAAATTACAAGATAACCTGGACAAACTGAAGGAATGGTCCAACAAATGGCTATTAGAGTTAACTCAAACAAGTGTAAAGTAATGAAGATAGGTATAGGGAGCAGGCGGCCAGATACAAGGTATCATTTGTACCAAGGTACCAAAAGGTTTGATGGTCACACACACACGATGTCGTTATTGTACTTAATCCCCAGGAGCTGAATGAACACCTTTTGTAGTCTCGTCCAAGTACACAGCCACCCACCCTCCCCCTGTGTAGCAAAACAACCCATAATATACCAACACAGGCAGGAATGGTCAGGTCGTCCCTAAGTCATCACAATGGCCGGTATGGGCCGCTGTTATGGGGCGCGTAGTGTCTGTTAAACGTAATTATACTGCCCACAGAGGCATGTGGATATCATTAATGTCTGTCGCCTGTGATTACTATGAAAGGAGGCTCGTTCGTGAGCTGAAACCTGTTGCAGTCATGTTGGCGTGAAGGCGCCCCGGTGTGCTGGAATATGTTGCAGTCTTGCAGAGTCTGCCGTGCACCCCACGGGCCCGTTCCTGGTACCTGGTTGATACCTGGTTGATGGGGTTCTGGGAGTTCTTGTACTCCCCAAGCCCGGCCCGAGGCCAGGCTTGACTTGTGAGAGTTTGGTCCATCAGGCTGTTGCTTGGAGCGGCCCGCAGGCCCACATATACCTGCTTGATGGGGTTCTGGGAGTTCTTCTACTCCCCAAGCCCGGCCCGAGGCCAGGCATGACTTCACTGTGTCCTTCTGTCCGTTCCTCCTGTATAAACACAACCTGTACTCATTCACTCATTACCGAACACGCCTTGATGAGGCATAAACAGCAAGAATGAGTCGGCAACACAATTCATAACCGTGACTGATCGTAGTGACTAACAGTTGTAATCACCTCACTGGCTGATACTGAATAGTGAACAAGCCAATTTCAACTTTGAGTAGTTGTGAGGTAGCCAGAACAAAAAGGGTAAGAGAAGTAAGTCTGCGGAACAAGAGAAGGGTTGATATAAAAGAAAGGGGGTGGACAAGAGACAGCGAGAAGCAAAAGAAGGGGAAAGTTATATGCGCGAAAACACCTCAAGATCGATCAATATATATATCAAAGCTCTTAGCATTTTATCCATTCATAAAAACAAAGGCAGACAGGTTCACGATATATATGTACATAATACTTTTAAGAGGAGGATACCCGGCTGGGCCCGGGTCTCTCTCTCTCCCGCCCCCCTCTCCAACTTCACACCTCAAGATCTCCCCTCGCCACCTTTCTACCCCAACACCCCACTGTCTCCCTCCCTCTCTTCAAATATCCCCCGTTCTCTCCTTCCCTATGACCATCCCATACCCCACACCATTATTATTTATTATTAACATCTTTATTGACAAAATTAATTACAATTTTGCCTAATCTGAGGATTTTGATAGTCTTATTAAATTGAGGTTAATGCTGGTATTCACTGTCACGCAGGACAGAGAGTCATACATAAGACAATAGGTCTAAACTGTAGGCTGAAGCACATATATATCATGGTTACAATCAATGTTTTAATGTATGGATATGTGAAAACAACTTTCTATTGTGCACTGCCACACAAGGGCAGGGATGGGTTCATAAGTGATGCAGCTTAGAATATAAATAAAAATTGTTCTTCATTCTTTAAAATGGACAAGCAAATTTTGGGTAAATTGTTAGGATGTCGTCCAGAACACCTGAGTCAATAAAATAGTTACACAGTTGGTGGTACAATAGGCCAGGAGGTCTAAAGTCCTTTACGGTTTCACATTCATCAATATAGTGTTCTAGTGAATGCATTAAAGGTTTATCACAGAGTTTACAATCTGAATATTCTGGTAGTGGCTCAGCCTCACTAACCTGCCAGATGTGTCTATAGCCAAGGCGAATTCGCGCAATGACTACATCACATTGCCTGGTCCGGTTACTGTGCTGACCATACAAATACCTATTATTACAAAAGTTGTCATAACTTTTAATACTGCAGCTTTCAGGTCTCTGTGCATTTCTTAGTTCTTCTAAATCTGAATTAATTTCTTTAATTTGTATGTTTCTAATAACTGCATTAGATAGTCCAAAGTCATAATCAATGTTTTCTTTCCTGCAAGCCTCATTGGCCAATTGATCTACAAAGTCATGTTTTTCAACTCCAACATGGGATGGGATCCACACAAATTTTATACACGAATTATTATCATTGGCAAAAATTACATTCCATTTAATATTACAAGCTACTTCCGACATACATTGTGATGGGTTATTTAAGGACTGCAGAGCACTTTTAGAGCACCATTCCCCCTGGAAAGTTGGGTTAGGCTATCCCCCAAGAGTCTGACCTCCAACTATTTACAAACAGATATTCTCTCTAATATGTATAGATTGTACCAGGTGTTTACAGTCCATATGTTGTACATGTTAATCTGACTCTTCGAAGCAATGACTCAAGCAGATGCTTCTTTCACGTCCAGCCTCTGGCCTGTACACTTTCTTTAAATCAATATAACCAAAACACCTACTAAACATTAGTGGGGCCAGCCAGAGGTTTAAGGCCTACACAGAACTATGGAAAAACTATTACCGTCGGTAACAGTATATGAATTATGCTGAAACACGTGAAAACATCTCACATCCAGGCGTATAGACGCCCCGGCATACTGGCTTTGGGTTTTTTTTTGGCCCTTGGCTTTCCGCGCCTTGGCGTCGGGCTTAACACATGGTGGAGGAGCAGAGCAATACTGCTGCAGGGGCAGAACATGACCCTGGGAGCTCCATAGCATTCAATGACTCATGTTCACCAGGGAAAAAACATTTCCTGCCACACAAAATCACATTAAATGGATATCATGCTCCTAAAGTCATGAGAGATTACAGCAATTACCTTTTATATACCACCGACACCGGACCTGAGTGTGTAGTGAAGTGCCTGGTGTTCGGACACACTGCTCGCCACGCCTGGAGCAGAGGTCGGGAATTACAATGTCTAGCTCTGCCATCAATCATGTCCGAACGCGAACCAATGATTTTTTCGACTCGCAAGAAAATAAATTGATTCGACTTAATATAGAATGTTTGTTTACGATCGACCTGACTTTGAACTTAATATCAAATATTTGCTAGTTAATAGCCTTTACTAATTTTATTACAGGTTTCATTCCTGGCTCTCTCGTACCCCTCTCTGCTATCTTTCATTGGTACTT